TGAATCTTCTGTGTGAACTTTCTTGATATAATATTATATCTTGATTTTTCTATGTGAATTATCTTGATATATTACCTTACGTAATAAAAAGGTTACATTTATTATTAATATATGCTGGAATATTATTATATTTTTTCTATATATAAAATATTTATTGAGATTTTTATTAAAATTATTAACTATAAAAATATTAATAGATTTTGATATATTTTTTTTATTATCTTTATCAAATATAAGTTTTAATATATTCTTTGATTTTAGATACTCTAACTTATTAATTCTTTATACTGTTATAATATAGATTTTTGTATATATTTTATTAATCTTAGTTATTTTATACTTGCATTTTTATTAGACAATTATTTAGTTATATTTTATTAAACAATAATTAAGATAGTATTATTGGTAGATATTTTTAGATAATTTTATAAGCATAATGTTCATAACAAAATTATCATAGCAAAGTTAGCAAAACTATTATAGTAAAACTAGTAATACTATCATAACAAAACTAACATTATGATACTAGCAAAAGTAATATTTAGATTATAACAAAAGTATCATTTATAAAATCTCTAAAATGTATAATGTATCTTAATTAGAAATCAAAAAAGTTAATAATTAATAATTAATAAAATAAATAAAATAACTTAATAAATAATGAATAAATTAATGAATTAAATAATAATAAGATAAAATAATAATTTAAACATAATAATGTTATAAATTTAATGATCTTTATTAATAATATCTTATTTATTATCATATATTATAATTCTAGGTCACACTCTAGCTGATCATGTCATGAATACATCCTATCTTTAATCTCATTATAATTATAGTCTAATGTTTATTACATTATATCTTTGATTATATTAGTCTCTCTCACCTGTAATTAATAATATCTTTATTATATATTATCCTAGCAAATATTATATATAAAGTTATTAACCTATCACAAAATAATCTTTTCAAAAATGATAATAATATATTAATTTTAATAAATAATAATTATAAAAATTATAATAAATAATAAAAATATATAAATAAAATTAATATTAAAAAAGAATATTAAAAAAAATAATTAATATTAAAAAATATTATTTAATTATTTTTATAAAATTTTAATTATTATTTTTGAAAATTTTAAAATAATAAATTAAATAATATAAATATTAAAGTTTATATTATTAAAATAAATTTTTTAATTATTATAAACTTATAATAAATAAATATTATTAATTTATATTTAATTATAATTTTAATAATTTTATATTATAATTAAAGATATTATCTTAATTAATTATAACTTGCAATAGCTAATCAAAGAATTATGATTAATTATAATAATCAAATAAAGAATTATAATCAAGTTGTAATATTATCTTTAATTATAATATTATAATAAATAAAGTATTATTAAATAAAATAATTATAATATTTATTATTAAATTTTAATAAATAATAATTATGAAAATTAATAATTAATAAATAATTAATATTAAAAAAAATATTTTAAAAAAAATAATTAATATAAAAAAATAACCTAATTATTTTTTATAAGATTTTTTAAGAATTATAAAATTAAAAAAATAATATATTAATTTTAATAAATAATAATTATAAAAATTATAATAAATATATAAATAAAATTAATATTAAAAAAGAAATAATTAATATTAAAAAATATAACTTAATTATTTTTAAGAATTATAAATTAAAAGATAATATAATAATATATAAATAGTAATAATATTAAAAAAAATAATTAAGTTTAAAAAATATAATTTAATTATTTTTATAAAATTTTAATTATTATTTTTGAAAATTTAAAATAATAAAATTAAATAATATAAATATTAAGTTTATATTTGTATATTTTAATAATAATAATTATAAAAATTATAATAAAAAGTAAAAATATATGAATAAAATTAATATTAAAAGAGAATATTAAAAATATGACTTATGAAATTTCTTAAGAATTATGAAATTAAAGAAAATAATATAATAATATATAAATAGTATAAATATTAAGTTTATACTATGTATTACTAAATTTCATAATTTGATAAAACTTAATAATTATAAATTTTTGAGTTGGTCACAGTAATTTATAGTAGATGTCACCTGAACTCTAGATCGCACAAATATGTACGTGGCGCTGCACTGCATGGAAAATCATAGACGTTTGATTAACCTGTGTAACTCTCAATGCAGTTTTGCTTTTTTCCCCAGTGTTTATATTTCTTCTTTTGGTCCGGGCTCTTGTGATCACATCGGGTGTCTCGAGTGATCGTCAAGATACTTGAAATGATGACAGTGAAGCTACAGGAATGGCTTGGGAAGGGTGGAGCTGAAGGCCTCAGTTGGTTACAACTAGAAAACTTTCCTGATACTGGTCGAGGTGTTAAAACGCTTCGACCTCTTAAGCTCAACGACGTAGTCCTTACAATACCAGGCTCCTTTCTCTGGACAATAGAAGCAGCATTTGATGACTCTGTTCTTGGACCCATCATACGCTCTGTAAAACCGTCTTTATCAGTGGAGGATACACTAGCTGTATTTCTTCTTTTTATCAAATCACGCGAAGAAGGGTACGAGGGAAGGAGAGCACATGTAGAATTACTACCAGATAGCTATACAACAAGTATTTTTTTTAGTGATGAAGAACTTGAAGTTTGCTCTGGCTCGTCCCTTTATTATCTTACTCAACAATTGAAACAGCAAATTAAGGACGATTACCTCCAGCTCCTTAATAACTTGTTTTCTAAGCATCCGGATATTTTTCTTTTGGAAAGGTTTACACAAAATGATGTGAGTTTTTTAATAAGTCCGACATTTATACGTAATAAATATGTACTTTAAATTTTATATTTGCATGTATCTTCTAGTATATGTGGGCCCTTTGTACAATCTGGAGTCGTGCTATGGACTTCCAATTACCTGATAAGCAATTCCGATGCATTGCACCTTTTGCCGACATGTTGAATCACTCCCCTGATGTCCAACTTTGCCATATTTACAATCCCCGATCGGATAGCTTACAGGTACTGGCAGGAAAAAACTACACAATCGGAGAACAAGTTACGTATGTCTTTCTTCTTTTTTTTTAACCTGCTTAAAAGAATCTTTTCAATTATATTTTAATCTTAACTCACATCTTAAAAGGTCTTCATCAATTATGGCCCTGTCCCCAATAATCGACTCCTTCGTCTATATGGGTTCGTCCTCCCTAATAACCCATATGACTCCTATGATCTTATTCTTTCCACACATCCTGGAGCACCCTTTTATGATCAAAAAGTCGCCTTGCTTGAATCTGCTGGTTTACAAGTCAATGCCACCTTCGCTCTCACACTCAGTGATCCTCTTCCGTTGGATGTACTTCGATATTTACGAATTCAGCGCTTATTATCTTCAGAAATTTCTGCAATGGTTGTTAACCGTGAGGCCAGAAATATAGTCAGTGCTCGTAATGAAGCCGAGATTTTAAAGGCCTTGATCGAATCATTTGAAGGTCTATTGGCCAATTTTGGCATTCCCCTTGAGGAGCTTCAAGAAAAAATTGCTTTCGGTTTATATAAACAAGGAGATAACGTATGGGCGGCGGCCCACGTGAGCATTGGGGAGCAGAGAATTTTGAGGATGGCGTTGCAGAAAACAAGAGAGTTGCTTGCGTTGGTTATTTGTGCTCAGTGTGGAAAGGCGGATGAAGATAACAAGCGTTGTTCAAGATGTAGAAAAGTGGTATATTGTGGAAGGGATTGCCAAAAAAAACACTACAAAAAACATAAGGTTATATGTGATTGATTATAAGTCATGTGAGTAATTATTTTGACGCTAAGTAGTTAATTCAGCATTTGTATTAGTTTGCAGATCAATTTGATATCATATTCGATTAAAATTATTTTATTAGATTAAAACCTTATTTTGTCCATTATGATATATTTTGTTCATTATGATATAATTTGACGATATTGATGTTCAATATGATCCCGTTGGTTTTACGGTTCGTATTAGGCCAAATTTGCAATCGCATTAAAAGTTATTTTGCGTCTCCGAATCTGTTCATCATCAAAAAGAACGATTTAGCCATCACTCCGTTTATTGATATGTACTTTAGCATTGTATGCTTTATTTTCTTTTCAGGAGTTCAATTCACAATTATGTTTCATTAGATCGGAAGCAGTGAAAGTTCGTTTATTTTCATACAATGTATCCTAATTCTAATAAATAGTCACTATAATCTTATGTATTGTTCATTCTATAATAAAGTTGAGAATTGTAATTATCCCAATAATACATCCCTTAAATATAATGAGCTATTGGGAATAGAAAATATTGTACATCTCGGTTTGACATTACAATGAATACGAAAACATATATTTACTGTTTCCACAGGATTTTTTCTTCAACTTGTTGAACGTCTCTAAACTGGGCACCCTGAAACACTGACCAGCTCTGTGGTATTATTGATTGTGGCCCCAAAACAGGATGTGAGCCACCAGCAACGTAAGGGCGAACCCTATCCATGCTCACCATAACCTCTGTGTCAACAATCGGATTCTTAACAGTCTCTTTGGAATTAGGTCCACGTGGATATTCATTATCATTAGGCCACCAAGCGTAAGCAACGACAGTGGGATTGAACTTGACCCGATACTGGTCACCCTGAACATCAATAATGCGAGCTGGGAGGTAAAGTTGTGATTCTTCAAGACCATAATAACGGAAGAGATAGTCTGGGTATACAACAGGTGCCTCAACAAGATCGCCAATGTGGAGGCAGCGGTAAGGCCTGATTTCCAAATTTGTCACTCCACGCTTCCACGGACACCAATTTCTACTGTTAGTTTTCTCTTGTGTTGCAAGTTGGTCATCAGAGAAGCCTATTGGTCCATCTTCATCTTCATCATTTTCTTCAGAGAAAGTCTCATCGTTTGTTGGGCTTTCTGTGTCAGAAGTCGAAGACCAATCAACATATTCTACATTTTCACCATTGACTGCGGTAACTTTGACATCATACCAATATCCGTCCGCCTTGATCTACATGCGGCACCAAAAAAAGTATTAATTTGAATAAAGGCGCTAATTTATAATCGAAAATCAAATTGATTTGCGAATCGATTTGTTAATCATAGGTCGGAATAACCATTTTTTAATTTGATTTGAAATCTATTTCGAAATTAAATTGCGCAACTTAATTGATATTGCGCGGTTTTATAACCTTTTTAAGAATATAAAATCTTTTAATTCTTTGATCTTGAAATTGACTTTAAGTATGAGGGCTCAATATCGGATTCTTGAGCTTATAACGTTTGCGAATAATGTTGTTAACAAATCGAATCTAAGTTCTCAATTCCCTTTTAAGTTGAATATTGCTTTCTTAATGTGCTGAACGAACTCACCTGAATTTTTTCATCTTTTTTAGGTGCTTCCGTAAAAAATGTCGAGGGTCCCAACAGACAATAATCAAATTCCAGGATGGTCAAGTCGTTATCGAGTTGATCACTCCGAACCGCATGATCATCAAAACCGATTGGCGGTTTTGTTACAAACTCGATAGTATTTTCTTTCGAACCAGCAGTCACAATGTAACGACCACCAGCACAAGCTTTAAGTCCCACAATTGAAAGGCTGTCGCTCCAACATGAACCGTTTTCCAAAGTGTAACAAATAGCAATTGAAATTCCAATACGGAGCCCGCCGAGCATTCTCACGTCCTCTGAGAGAAGTTTTCTTTCAATTTGGCCGGTTTGGAGGTAACGAACATATACCCAAATGTCATTTTTAGGATAGGTGTAGTTTTCAATGAGTTTCTTAAGTTGTGGCTTGGTACCCTCGTCATATATAAATATGCCAAGTTCTTCCGGTGATGGTACTGAGATAATTTGGCAGAAAGACATCCAACCAACAGAGTGTGCAGGACTCTCTATTTCAGAAGGTAACGCAATGTCTTGCCTTGTACGCCGGCATTCCACAAAAATGCCATATCCACAGCTATCGAGAACGATTTGTCTTAATTTATTAGACAGCGATTTCCCGTCAAGGAAAGACAAGTAATTGTATGGGTTAACGTAGCCTCTATGGAGTGGATCCAATGCTTCGCATAAGGCTGGAAGCCAAAGTGGCCGAATGTCTTTGAGATTACGCGTTCCATTTGGATTAATATAATATCTGTTACCATGTTTGCGTATGGCGTCAATGTCTCCGAAATAATCCTCCTTAATTGCTGTAGGGATATTCTTTAGCGGAAAGTTTACCTCAAGTTCGTGAACAAAACGAGCCCAGGAGACGAAAACACACTATATTAAGGATTGAAATATTTCATATCAGCGTCATTTATAATAATTTATCAATTTAATCAAGTTCTTATTGTTCTCGAACGATAATTAACTTACCTCGTATGGGGCAATAGATGATATGCTGAGCTCAGCAGATCTAAAACGATCCTTCCAAACTGAAATAGCCTCGGGATTGTCGCTTCCCAAACCTTCAATGAAAGAAGATTCAACAGAAAGCGTACAATTCTCGAGCTTTTTTTGAAGCTCTTGAATTTCCTTTTTAAGTCTTGCCACTAATTCATCAATTGTGTTGGCAAGGGCCTCTCTTAATTCCGCTTGTAATATATTAGAAGTGGCTGTGGAAGTGGATGTTGAAGTAGATGTTGAAGGGGGTGTTGGCGTGGGTGCTACCTGAACATGTCGTACGATACTCAGAGAACTTTCGGTGATATTAAGATTGAGTTGAACTTTCTGAATAGCACTTTCGATATCGGATAAAATTTTAGGGGCCTTATATACACTAACGACCTTTTTCAACTTCGCAAACTTATCACGCTGTTTTTTATCTCTTATGTCTAGTTCTTTAACACAATTCATGTAGACCTTTTCAGTATCTTGTGCAGTAGTTTGGATCATGATAATAATGGATTTATCAGCTTTAGCATAAATTTCTTCGACAACATTTTTGAGCACTCCCAAAAGAATTTCCAACTTCTTAAGACTTTCAACAGCGTCCTTATAATCAGCTATACGCGCAGCGATTTCTTGTCCTATTGAAATAGCCCTTTCAATAATGCTAACGACGATGTCGGCCATTGATAGTTACTGTATAAACCTTTACCGCTACTGAGTTTCTTTTTCGAATATAGAAATGATGTTCAAATACTATTACTAATTTCGAGAATACAAAGTATAATGAAGCATTGTGGGCACAAAAGCATATTTGAAAGCATTGTAATATTCTTTAAAACATCATTCCCTCTTTGAATCTGTAATATTGAGACGTTATTTTCCGGCGAGCAACTTCGCTACATGAGTACTTATCAAATAGGTTTAACAGGAAAATAAGTAATCAAGAAATATAGGCTCCCCATATACAAGATCTCTGCTAGAAAAACTTTTAAGCGATAGGCCTAATATATATACTAGTGAGCGATCTGCATTCTCGATTTGGTATAAGAAATGTCATATCGACTTTTTTAATAGAAAATGTTATTTATTCAAGGAAGTGACATATATGAGGTAGTATTCCATAATGCAAGGCTGTCTTTTAGAGGTTTTTGAGGTCTGAAGCTTTTTATACAGTGTCTAAAACTCCAAATAAAGTAATATGTAAAAGCTTTATGTAACTAAAAAGTTTATAATTTTAATTTTTCATGCTGTCTAATTGTACTAAAAAGACGGTCTGGTAAAGAGAGTTTTTTTATTTTTGAAACTAAACCTAAAATGCTATTGATATTTAGATCGATATCTTGACTTGACACCACTAGTCTATCACAGCCTTACATAATGAGGTAATATATGTCACTCCATTTTTATTGATCATGTGAGTCCGGGATTGAATGTTAATTAAATCGAATTATGACTCTAAAAATACGCCAAAGATCAACCTTGCATAGTCGGAGAAAAAACAAAGACTGATTTGTAATTGTAATTTTTTTCGATAAACATTTTCTGTTGTTGCATTGTTGTCATCCTTTCGTCTCTTCCATACTTTATTGGATAAAGGAATATAAAGATGGAAGAAACGCCAGTTAATGCGGTATCTATTTAGATATAGATAACGTTTATTCAAATCATTAGCAAAGTTTCGTTGATTGATTTGTCTTTGTTCTCGTATATTTTTGTTATGTATAGGCGCATGCTTATGCAAATGCGGCTGAGGAATACGAGGAAAAAGAGCAATGGAGTAAAGCCATGGAAGCTCATTTTCGTGCCGCAGGTACTTGTTTAATTAAAGTCTGTTCTTTAGAAATGGTTTTAGGTTACGAATGGATTCAGAACTCAGTAAAAAATAATTAATTCAAATGAGATATATCTGATCTATTTTTTAATGGATCTTTTCTTTATATTTGATAGAACAGTTTTTGCAGGCAACGAATTACACGTCAAATCCTGAGGTTAATTATCTTTTCTTAGTTTTGCTATATGAAAAGAGAATTTTTTTCTTCGTTAATTCTAATAGACAACTTAACAGGCGGTCAGAACTCTCAAATTACTTTATGCTAATCACACGCGTCAAGGCAAAGATCTTAAGCGACGTTTGAGTAAACAATCACAAACTTCATCGCATCAAAAACAAGAACATTTTTCATCATCTATTGGTGGAGCTGATGAACAGCAACCACAAAAGCAATCATCACCATCATCATCGTCTCGTAATAAAGCACAAAATTCTTCATCTCAGACGCTGATTAACGATAACAACAGTAACAATGATCAAGTAGACCAGCCAGGTAGACCGTACTCGGGTTCGGCTGCTCATCGTCTACAGCAACAACGTCAAATAGAAAAGTTGCAACAAACTTCAAGGTTGTTGTCACCTGCCACCCATCATTCTTTCTAGCGATTATTTAATAAATAATAATTAATATTCAGATGATATTGATTTTAATATTAATATTAATACTAATAATGTTAATAGGTCAAGTACATCACCATACGCTAATCGTCGAATGAAGGATTATCAATTAGAATGTAATCACAATTTTATATTTTATCGTACAAATGAGAGTTGCTATTTTATTTTACATATATCTCGAATTTTTCTTAGCAAATTCGTCGTCATCGACTTTGGGTGTAATACCGCGTGAAAACATCGCATCATCGATGAACCCTCTCAACAATTCGACGGTTTCTTCTGTTGAAGAATCTTATATGGTATTGAGAGGAAATAATGACTCGGCAGATGTAACTATAACATGATTAAATTATTTTATATATATTTTATATCTTTTTTGGAAAAATTGCTTATTTCTAATTTATGGATGGGCTGATTGATTGAATCTTAGGACGATGATCCATTTAATAAATTTTGGCAAATAGTTGAATCTCTTGTGTCAAAGGTTTCTAATCCTGTGGCATTCGCCACCGTACCTTTAAACGGTACGGACGCACTTAGTCTCACTGACCCACGTTTATTATCAGATTCTACCGTTGATGCCTTATCAATACCTCCAGAGAACAAATTAAATGATCGGACATGTATGCTTTTTTTTTGTTTTGACATTTGTATCAATTCATGCTTAATAAAAAAGAATGCATCTCCTCTTTTATTATTTTATTTTTCTGATCTGATAGTTATTGAACACAAGATTGACGGGGCTGCTTCCACAATGATGGAGTCGTTTTATATTATTCCAGATGATAAGAAACCCAGTTCATCCAATACTTTACCTAAACATCAGCAGACTTTATCTACACTTACATCCGGAAAGTTAGTAAATAGGTTTTTTCTTGAAAAATTATTAATTCTTAAACTATTGATTCTATATTATTTTTTTTAATGAATAATCAAATATAGAAAGAAAGCAGCACCAACAATAAATAAAACCATAGAGGAATATGCATTGGAAAACCAACAACTCAAACTTATTGTGGACAAGTTATCCAAGCAAATGCTAGATTACGAAAAAGTAATTAAAATATTAAGATTAGACTTATTGCTATCCAATTAATGTTTTTATTTTAATTCTCATTGATAAATATTAATTAGGCCGCCGAAGAGAACAGCATGTTGAAGAGTAGTATTATGCAATTCAAAAATGACGTTGAAAAACAGGTTTGTTGAACGTTGCTTATGTGCTTTATCTCATTTTTAACTAGTGATGTTAAAGTATTATGATGGGTGGTGACAGGCGAAACGGATAAAATATAGCCAAGAATTAAGATCATCTGTAATGGTGAGACAGTTGTCACCAGAAAGTTCAACAGGTGTTTATTCATTTCTACAATAACAGTGACGATCTTATTTAGGCACTTGATTTTTTACACCCTATTAAATTTTATTTTTATTTTTAGTTTCACATTCTAGTTATTTACAAAGGCGTATTAAAGAATTGGAGGAAGAACTTCGTCTAGTAAAACTTGATAATGATAAACAGGTAATAGTAATTCTACTGTATATACACAGTAAGTCCGGTTTAACGAAGTGCACCATCTCGAATGAACTTCATTCTACATTATACAGAAAAGAATTCATATCACTTCGTTAAATTGGATATTCTTGTAACTTTCACATTGTATAATCTTCGTTCGAGCGGATTTTACTGCTTAATCTTAAATAATGAGATTTTCTTTATATAGAAAGCTCAAATGGCTAAATACAGAGAACGTTGGGAAAAACTCAAAGAATCGGCCAAAAAAAAGCGCAGTGAAAAGCAAGCAGAAAGTTTATCAGGCTCTCCTAGATCAGCATTAACTATTGTCACCAATCAAGAATACAATTACTTACAAGAAAGACCATCATCGCCATCAACCTCATATTCTAGACTATCCAATTCGCCTCAGCTTTCTCCTTCAACGACTCCTAGAACGCCAACTCCTAGGACACCAACTCCAACCTTGTCCTTGCGACGATCAATGTCTCAGCCTGTTGATCTCTCGAAGCAACGTCAAGGTGTAAGTGCCGTTCTCGATTCACCAACTCAAAGCTCTAATGGAGGAGGTATTAGTAAAGCAACTAATAATATTGGCATCACGGCACATGAACGTACTCCAGTTCCTCCTACCACCACTATTGTTCATGCTACCGCAACTGGCTCACCAACTAGATTAACTCATGCTCGTAGTAATAGCATCAGTAGCAATGATTTTCCATTTGCAATATCGCAACCTGAATTGAAACGTCCTAATTCTTCGGGCTCATTGACTCCTTCGCATATGTATAATGCTGATCTCGAACCTACTCTCTCATATAGACGGGATTCGGCACCTACGAAATACGTCCGAAGATATTCTTCGACCTCAATTTCTACAATAAATGCATCCGGAACTAGTTCTGCTCAGAGCGTTTATCACAATGCACCATTAGCTGCATCTGATATATAATGAATTTGGTGGTCAAGAAAAACAACTGTTCAAATCGCTTAGCTTAATTTGTTGTACAGATAAATGGATGAAGCAAAATACGTTAATCCTCTTTCGAAATTGTATCAAATCATATTAAACAAAAATAACAGTTTGGAAGTATGTGTACAGTATAGATGTTAGAGATGATTCCATTAGATTCCTATATAGTTACACTCGGACAACAAGGATATATATTATTATTTTTCATATTTATGTATGTATATCATGTTTATATTATTCGCTGTCTAAAGTAATTAATTATCAAATTAGATTTAAATAAAGATCTATTTAAGCTTTTTCTTTAATGAATCTGAAAGTTATTTGATGTTTAAAAAGAAGGTATATTCTTATCTGACTTATATGCAATTCTTGTTTCTTTGTATATTTGAATATAAAGAAAATTTTCAGCTCAGATATAATATATAAATATGATCTTAAATAGAAAATCCAATGAAAATATGATTGAAATATTTATTAAATAAATATCTTTAAAATTAAGAAATGAATTAACTAAATTATATTGTATTTATTTTCACTTTTATTTAGAAATCTGAAGTTAATAAAAATTTTATTTAAATTATTCTCATATTTTTATTTAAATATTTTTCTTTTTTAAATTTTTAAATAAATAAAGTTTATTAATATATATAAATTTTACTTAAAAATTAGAACTTATATAAGATAAGTTAAAGAAAATAAAAAGATTTTTCTTCAAATCTATATTATAAAAAGATTATTTTATTATCTTTTTCAAATATAAAATTAATATAAATTATTTATTAATATTAATAAAAAGATTATAAAATATAATTATAATTAGATCTTTTTATAGTTATATCTTTTTATAATTATCTTTTTTTATAGTTATCTTTTTAGTAACTAATTAAAAAGTCTTTTTATAATTTAGTTATTCAATTTTACTTTCTTAAATATGATAATTATAGTGAGATCTGATCATATTATTAATTTATTTTAAAAATATTTATATATTAATTTATTAAATTATCATTTATAATCAATTTTTTATTTTAAATATTTGTATTAAAATATTTAATATAATATTATTTAAAGAAAATAATAAAAAATCTCTGGTATAAAAAAAATAAAAAAATTCTTTTTTTATTAAAATAAAAATAAAATCTAAGTAATTTAGAAATTATATTTCTTTATTATTTTTATTATATAAATATTTTCAAATTAAAAAAACTTAAAATAATTTTTTAATAGATTTTCATATTTTTTCTTTTTTAATTTTTTATTTAATAAATAAATAAAAATATTATTTATTATTATATTATATATATATAATTTTATTTAAATTAATTTAAAAAATAATTTAATTTAATTTAAAAATTTTTATTTAAATTAAATATGATATATCTAGCTTAGTTATATTAAATACTATACTGTTACTAAAATTTTAATATAAATATATTTAGTATTATATATCAATTATTAAAAAGTACTAGGATAATATTAAATATAATAAAAAATTTTTTAATACTTTATAAACTGATAGTAAAAATAACTTTAATATTTTATAGATTAGTAATCTTTAAATAATAATTAATTTATAAAAGAATTTGAATAATTAAAGTTAAATTAATTTAAAAAACTTTTTAAAATAAATAATCAAATATAAAAAAAATAAAAATCTATTTATATTAACTTTATCAAATTAATCTTGTAAAATAAGAGAGTAACTTGAAAAAAAATAGTATCAAATATTAATAAAATTATAAATTAGTTTCTAATAATTCAAATTTTAATAATTTATAATAATACTAATAATAAGTTCTTATATAATGAGATAGTTAATTTTGAAAATAATAATAATAAGTTTATTTTAAAATTACTTGACATACTATTAAAGAAAAAGTTAGATAATATATAACTTTATATAATAAGTTAATTTTTTTATTTGATTAAAGATTAAGAATTTTCTAAACTGAAAATCAATAAACTTTTTATTTTAAAAATTTGTAATATATATATATTATTTATTTATAAATAAGTTAATAATTATAAAATAATTAATTATTATATTATATTATAATAATTATGTAAAAATTTGATTATTCTTACTATATAAAAATCTTAAATTAAATATTATAATATATTTATATATTAATAAATTTAAAATAATTATCTATCAATTTATAAAGTAAAAAGAAACTATTTTAGCTTTTGAAATTAAAAAAAATTATTTATAGAAAAATAACTTAAATATAGTTATATTATTTTGATTAGAATTATAAAAATTATTCAAAAAATATCTTTTTAATAGATATAAATAAAATATTATAATAATTTATTAGAAATACTTTTTAGAATAAATAGTTAATCTATAATCTTAGTTCTTAATCTATATAAATAAAAATATAAATCAAATTATTTTATTAATATTTTTATTAAATATTTTTAAAATTATTTTAGTAACTTATAATAAATTTATTTTTTATATTATAATAATATTATTACTATTTAAGATTCTGCTAATAAAAATAAATTTAATAAAAATTACATAATTTTAATATTTATATAAGTAATTTTTATTTATAAATTAATAAAATATTTTTATCTTTTATCAGAAGAATAAGTAATAAATGATCTATTTTCTAATAATAAATATTTTTTATATATAAAAATTTATATTATTATTTATTTTGATATAAAATAAGTAACTATTCTAATTTTTAAATAAATATATTTTAAAAAAGTTATATTTTTTATATTTGATAATAATTATAATTATATTATTTTTGCTGATAATATTCTAATAATTTTATATATAAATATAAAAAATAAAAAAAAATAATCATTTCTTTATAATAGTCTAATATCTGATAATTTTTCTTATAGTCTGATATTTATAGATATTAATAATATTATCAAAATAAAGAGTAATTAGTATAATCTTTAAAAGTATAAATTATGAAAAGAAGATCTAGCAAAGTAATATAATATATATAAATTTCATATATCAAATTCTACTAATTCAGAATATTATACAATATAAATTCTTAGTTATTAATTTAACTTTATATTATAAAAAAGTTATTTATAGAAGATTATTAAAATAATTAATTATATATTATTATTGTAAGATTATTTTGTTAATGGTTATAAATAAGATAAAATGCGATATAAATAAGTTTTAATTTTATAACTTATGATTATTTTTATTATTTAAAAGTATT